CTCGCAACATGTACGCGCGTGTGCCGCACGGGATGGCGCAATTTGTTCTAAAAATAGCAAAATTGACCCACATCATAGGGACAACCCCAATACTAGAAATAGCTCGCGCTTACGATCTCCGTCCCCGATTATGACTCCTGTTAAAACTCAAAACAGAAGGCCAAACAATATACAGATTACCTCACCTCAAAGTTACAAAACTCAAATCAAAATTCTACCTTATCCTGGGTTAGCATAATCAGGCTCTGAACAATCTGGCCCAGGAGCTACGCTTTTAGGCTGACCTAAATCTATATATTAAATTCTCGGTTGAAACTCTGCATTTGAAATTTTCGCAATAACTTTTAGATTTACACCTACAGACTTCGCGAAAATCGTTACAAGATGCCTGATTCGCCGTCTTCTTTTTAAAACTTCTTTGGCGGTTTCGCTGAACGAACATTAAACGAAGATATACTTCTCACGGCATATGTTTTTGCCTGGCTACTTGAAGAGTAGAGTAGAGCAATTTTATTCAGGATATCTCCCGGGGTTATTGACAACAGGCGATAATCATGAGAGGACGTCAAGATGAGAAATCCTACACCGAAAAATCACTCGGCCGTGAAAGCGCAAACTCTTGGGCGGTAGTCTACCCAAGGTAAAAACATTTATAAGGCAGCGGCTGCAGAATTCCGAACAACAGAGCCTTCAGTTAACACCAGTCACGATGTAACCTGCTGGGATGTTATAATAAATGTCCAATAAATGCTCAAATAGGGCCCGCATGTGTTGATTACAAATCGGATTTAAGAGTCTTGTTATCAGTGGAACCCCGCTCATACGATCACTAATAGGGCCATGGACATTTTGCCTTATTGACGGGGTGGCCGTATAAACAGGGAAGGGTCAAATTTCATGACTGGTCTAAATTGCACGAGTGACGTGTTCTGTTACATGTATCACGATGGCACTTCCAAACAACTGCTCTTTACTGAATAAGCATCCGGAATGTAGATATAATTTTAAAAAACTTCAATCAGTTGATACAATGTCAGCATTGGAAAGGTGAACATAACTGGTTCGAGTGGAAGAGTTAACGGAGTATACAGGTTGCAATTTCAGAATGTGGCCGTTGACCGTATGGTTTTCGTATAAGAAAATGTATGGGCGTTTCGCCGGGACAAAATAAATGGGAAAATATTGTGGGTAAATTTCTAAAAGTATCGTTATACCGGGATAACTATTAAAGGAGAAGGAGGATAAGGCGGATAAAGGGGCTTAAAATACGTCAATTGACATTGGCTACTAGAGCGTAGAAAGACCACTCATGACTGTTGACAGAAACATTGATAATTATCGTTAATTGCGTTTGACAGAACCCGAGGGGGGTCCCCCTAGAAAAATCGGGTGGGAGGGTGTGCGGCCCGCTTCCCAAAACCTTTACCCTATTTATGACCAAAATATGCGATATTCCCTACCCTATTTATGACCTGACCAAAAATTCGAAACCCTATTTATGACCTAGCCCTTAAATCAAAACCCT